ATGTCGTTAGAAACGAAGAAAAGAGTGCTGAACTGCTATGTAATATCCGATTTCGTATATGGCAGCGAATACTGGACAATCTCCTCATGCCTTTCATAAACTAAGCAAAGTATTAAGAGATAGGAAAATGTCGTTAGAAACGAAGAAAAGAGTGCTGAACTGCTATGTAATATCCGATTTCGTATATGGCAGAGAATACTGGACAATCTCCTCATGCCTTTCATAAACTAAGCAAAGTATTAAAAGATAGAAAAATGTCATTAGAAACAAAGAAAAGAGTGCTGAACTGCAATGTAATATCTAATCTCCTATATAGTAGTGAATACCACACAATCTCCTCACATGCTTTTCATACACTAACCGAAGTATGAAGAGATAGGAAAATGTCGTTAGAAACAAAGAAAAGCGTGTCGAACTGATATTTAATTAACATTAAAATAGCATTATCCTGATGGAACATCATGTCGTTTCTTTTAACGAAATCACTTCTCTTTTATTACATTTATGGAGTGAGCCAGGTGAAAATGCTGATTATCTTTCCATTATCTTTATTAAAATCAATACAAAAGATGTGTTTGTCAGAGGTTCAAAACTGATGCAGTCATTGCTAACAGAAGAAAATGTTTATGTGAAGAATGTCAAATAAATTCTTCTCTATACAATTTCACAGGCGGAGAGTTTCAAGCTATCATTGGAGTAGACATTGTGTATGAATAAAATTAGGCAGGGTGAATTTTGTTTTAACGTTATAAATAAAATTTTGAAAAAACACAGTATATGTTTGAAAGGTATTGAACACTTTTAAATATAATAGAATTGACCTATTGGTAGGCTTTATTCCCTAGTTGATTCACACAAGAAGATTTTATATATATACATTAGACAAGAAGAATTTATATATATATATATATATATATATATATATATATATATATATTTATATATAAAAATTTATTTATTTCACCAAAATCCTTTTGAAAGGATTTTGGATCATAAAGGATTTTGGTGAAATAAATTAAATATTAGCTCTGTTCTTCACATTGAGCTCTCAGGATTTCATCCTCCTTGAATTTACCAATTGGTTTACCAAATTCTTCATAACTTAAATATATATATATATATATATATATATATATATATATATATATATATAAAAATTTAATTTATTTCACCAAAATCCTTTTGAAAGGATTTTGGATCATAAAGGATTTTGTGAAATAAATTAAATATTAGCTCTGTTCTTCACATTGAGCTCTCAGGATTTCATCCTCCTTGATTTACCAATTGGTTTACCAAATTCTTCATAACTTAAAATATATATATATATATATATATATATATATATATATATATATATATATATATATAAAATTTATTTCACCAAAATCCTTTTGAAAGGATTTTGATCATAAAGGATTTTGGTGAAATAAATTAAATATTAGCTCTGTTCTTCACATTGAGCTCTCAGGATTTCATCCTCCTTGGATTTACCAATTGGTTTACCAAATTTTCATAACTTAAATATATATATATATATATATATATATATATATATATATATATAAATTTAATTTATTTCACCAAAATCCTTTTGAAAGGATTTTGGATCATAAAGGATTTTGGTGAAATAAATTAAATATTAGCTCTGTTCTTCACATTGAGCTCTCAGGATTTCATCCTCCTTGGATTTACCAATTCGGTTTACCAAATTCTTCATAACTTAAATAATATATATATATATATATATATATATATATATATATATATATATATATATAAAAATTTAATTTATTTCACCAAAATCCTTTTGAAAGGATTTTGGATCATAAAGGATTTTGGTGAAATAAATTAAATATTAGCTCTGTTCTTCACATTGAGCTCTCAGGATTTCATCCTCCTTGGATTTACCAATTGGTTTACCAAATTCTTCATAACTTAAAAATATATATATATATATATATATATATATATATATATATATATATAAATTTAATTTATTTCACCAAAATCCTTTTGAAAGGATTTTGGATCATAAAGGATTTTGGTGAAATAAATTAAATATTAGCTCTGTTCTTCACATTGAGCTCTCAGGATTTCATCCTCCTTGGATTTACCAATTGGTTTACCAAATTCTTCATAACTTAAATATATATATATATATATATATATATATATATATATATATATATATATAAATTTAATTTATTTCACCAAAATCCTTTTGAAAGGATTTTGGATCATAAAGGATTTTGGTGAAATAAATTAAATATTAGCTCTGTTCTTCACATTGAGCTCTCAGGATTTCATCCTCCTTGGATTTACCAATTCGGTTTACCAAATTCTTCATAACTTAAAATATATATATATATATATATATATATATATATATATATATAAAATTTAATTTATTTCACCAAAATCCTTTTGAAAGGATTTTTGGATCATAAAGGATTTTGGTGAAATAAATTAAATATTAGCTCTGTTCTTCACATTGAGCTCTCAGGATTTCATCCTCCTTGGATTTACCAATTGGTTTACCAAATTCTTCATAACTTAAATATATATATATATATATATATATATATATATATATATATATATATATAAATTTAATTTATTTCACCAAAATCCTTTTGAAAAGGATTTTGGATCATAAAGGATTTTGGTGAAATAAATTAAATATTAGCTCTGTTCTTCACATTGAGCTCTCAGGATTTCATCCTCCTTGGATTTACCAATTGGGTTTACCAAATTCTTCATAACTTAAATATATATATATATATATATATATATATATATATATATATATATATATAAAAATTTAATTTATTTCACCAAAATCCTTTTGAAAGGATTTTGGATCATAAAGGATTTTGGTGAAATAAATTAAATATTAGCTCTGTTCTTCACATTGAGCTCTCAGGATTTCATCCTCCTTGGATTTACCAATTCGGTTTACCAAATTCTTCATAACTTAATATTAAATATATATATATATATATATATATATATATATATATATATATATATATATAAAAATTTAATTTATTTCACCAAAATCCTTTTGAAAGGATTTTGGATCATAAAGGATTTTGGTGAAATAAATTAAATATTAGCTCTGTTCTTCACATTGAGCTCTCAGGATTTCATCCTCCTTGGATTTACCAATTCGGTTTACCAAATTCTTCATAACTTAAATATATATATATATATATATATATATATATATATATATATATATATATATATGGAGAGAGAGAGAAAGAGAGAGAGAAGAAATATTATTTACGAATTGAAATGTCCATTAAGGAATTGTGTTCCTGATAAATCGAAATTCGTAAACAATTATATAGCCCACACCACAACATGCTTAACAAGAAGACTCACTCTACATCTTTCTGACCATAGCTCAGTTAAGTGTCATTTAAAAAATGGAGATCTACAGGACCCTATTCGTAACATGTTGATAATACAAATATAATAGCATCGTCTACATGTAAAAAATGGCTAAAAATAATGGAAAACAATAAACTAATAAAAACAAAAAATAACAGCACTCAATAATATCAACTATGAACATAGACACAATTTGCTCACTGTATATTGAATATGAAACATTATATAAATGCATGCATACAACTGTCTATTTGTAGTTAACAGTTAGTATATTTCAACCTTGAAAATGGCTAAATGTATTACTGAAAGCGCTCGGAAAAAACAACATTTCGACAGTTTTTATATAATTTATCAACTGAAAAGAAAAAAAATTATAAGATCGTATTAGAAATTATATAAAAAATCAAAGCACCTCGTCTGTTATATTTATTGAAACTTGCATGAATGAAGAACTGCTGCCTAAATACACAATGCATATATATATATATATATATATATATATATATATATATATATATATATATATATATATATATATCGTCATCGACTTTGGAAAGATCGTGGTATTAGGCTTGGAACCAAAATACAGGTGTACAAGGCTGTAGTTCTCACAACCGTTTTGTATGGCTCAGAGTCCTGGACACTATACAGAAAGCAAATTCAGCAATTAGATATTTTTCACAAAGGCTGTCTTCGGGAAATCTGTGGGGTAAACCTAAGCGACAGAATGGCAAATGCAGACCTTTTCACTATGTGTGATATTGATGGTATTGAGTCCTTGCTCATGAAATCACAACTACGCTGGACAGGTCATGTGTTATGTATGCAAGACAACAGAATTTCAAAAATGCTCATGTATGGTCAACTTGACAATGGTCATCGAAATGTGGGTCGGCCTTTGCTTAGGTACAGGGACAGGCTGAAGAGTAACCTCTTAGCTGCGAATATAAATCACACTACCTTTGAGAACATCGTAATTGATCGTAATGAATGGAAGTCTACATGCTACAATGGCATCAAGAACAAGGCAGCATCAAACATTGTCAAGCTTCGTCAAACTAGGGAAAGGAATAAAATATCTGCTGCTGTTCCAGCCATATACTCCAAGAATCCACACTCTTGCACAATCTGTGGACTTCTTTGCAAATCACTAGTAGGACTGAAATGTCACTTGCGATTCACACACAAGGTTAAATAAACAAAGTTGTCGGAACCTCATACGTCGAAACCGACGGGAGAGTTCATCATATATATATATATATATATATATATATATATATATATATATATATATATATATATATACAATGAAATGGATTAACTCCGACAATTATTTAATATATTTTCTGTTTATACGTTATGTTAATAGATACAATTTATTTAAGTAAATGCTCTGTTTTTTAATTAAATAGTATTAATTACATTTATCGGACTGAATGTTCTAGAAATTATCTATCTATCTATCTATCTATCTATCTATCTATCTAAATAAACTTATCCCATCAGGCATTACATTAATAATATTATAAAGACGGTTTTAAGAAAAAGAGTTATCGATAGATTGATTTGTCTGTGTAATGACATATCAGCTACTAATAGGTCATTTAATGCCGACAGAAGGATAGATAGATAGATAGATAGATAGATAGATAGATAGATAGATAGATAGATATGAACAGACTGAGATAGATAGATAGATAGATAGATAGATAGATAGATAGATAGATAGATATGAACAAATTTGGATAGATAGATAGCTACCGGTTAAATGGTGGGTACACACTAGTAACTATTTTTATATCTACCGTGAAACATTACATAAGCCATTATCTAATATGACAATTACATTACAATATATTAAGCAATACACGGACAAAACAGTGATGCTAGTCTGTTTCTGTTTACATGCAAGATTTCCAAGCAAAGACAAAGTCGTGCATATAATACTTCTCGTTTTCACTGTCGCGTGGTCATGTGTGACGTCATGAGTTGCGGTGCGATTTTCGCTTCCAGCGTCTAATGGCTTATGTAAAGCCGAAAGCTTAGATAGGATTAAAAAATATGTATCAAAATTGTGATTTTCTTTCTTCGTTTAATGATAATGTTATTAAGCTTATCAGACGAAATGAAAAGAATTTACCTAAAATAAATAGACAACACTGGTCTATATTATTTAATGAACATGCATCAATGAAAAATGCTGCCTAAATACATATAATATATATATATATATATATATATATATATATAAACATAAAAATGTCTTAAAAAATAATTGTCGGACTTTGTACATTTCATAATATATATATATATATATATATATATATATATATGACATGAATGCGATAAGGCAATTTGATTGATGGTCCACACTTATTCTGAGAGATCGTAGCGCATTTTTTTCTCACATATTTTTTTTTTTTTTTTTTCATTCAACTCTGAAAAAGCCAGAAAGAGCAGACGTTCTAAGCGAAACGCATCTAGATTTTTCCATCATCGCATCGTTTATAGATTTAGAAGAAAAAAGAAGAAAAAGAAAGAAGAAAGGTGAAGAAAAAAGAAGAACAGGGAAGAAAAAAAGAGGAAGAAGAAATAAAGAAGAGTAAGAAGAAAAAGAAAGAAGAGGAATAAGAAAAAGAAGAAAGAAAAAGAAAAAAGTAAAGGAAGAAAAAGAGAAAGAAGAGGAAGAAGAAAGAAGATCAAAGAAGAGGAAGAAGAAAGAAGAAGAAAAAGAAGAAGAAGAAAGAAGAAAGAATAATAAGATGAATAAAGGGGAAAAAAGAACGAAAAAAAGAGGCAGGAGAAAGAAGAAAGAAGAGGAGGAAGAAGAAGAAAAAAGAAAAAGAAAGAAGTAGAAGAATAAAGAAAAGAAAAACGTAGAAAAAAGAGGGAAGGAGAGAGAAAAAAGCAGAAAAAAAGAAAGAAGAGGAAGTATGAAAAGGAAGAAGAAGAAAGAAGAACGATAAGAGGAAGAAAGAATAAAAAAGAATAAGAAAAAAGATGAAGAATAAAGAAGAAAAAGAAAGAAGAAAAAAGAAGAAAAGAAAGAAGAACAGAAAAGAAAAAAAGAAAGAAGAACAAGGAAAAAAAGAGGAAAAAGAAGAAGAAAGAAAGAAGAGGAAGTAGAAAAAGAAGAAAAAGAAAGAAGAGGAATAAGAAAAAGAGGGAAGAAAAAGAAAGAAGAAAAATAAAGAAGAAGAAAGAAGAGGAAAAAAGTAAGAAGGAAGAAGAGGAATAAGAAATGGAAGAAAAAAAAGAAGAAAAAGAATAAGAAAAGATGAAGAAGAGGAAGAAGAAGGAAGAAAAAGTTATTTTCATGAATGTGAGCGGGCGCTAGACTGTCAGCTAAAAATGATCATTTTATTGTCGAAAGAGCTAGATGTAACCGTAGGTTCTATTCAAATAGTTTCTTCTCTCGCAGTTCTTACCCATGGAACCCCCTCCCTCCTTTCTTGCTTTCCTGTCGACTACGACGTTAAAAAATCGAAATCCAACGTCAGTCATCATGTTCTGTCTTTTTGAATTTTGTTCTTTTATTGCCCTTCACAATTTCTTTCACTCAAATTAACCTCTTTGCTCCTTATGGCTTTATCACCTTGTTTGGGAAGAATAATCTATATATATAATACGCTACATTTATATATATATATATATATATATATATATATATATATATATATGTGTGTGTGTGTGTGTGTGTGTGTGTGTGTTTTGTGTGCATGTATATATATATATACGTTTTTTGTGTATGTGTGTAACAATTGAGGGACAGTGCACAGAATAACGATAGCCCATCAGTTGCCGTGCTAACTTGGTCCCGTTGAGGCGTACTGATATCGCTATCGAAGAGGGTTCGTATATATATATATATATATATATATATATATATATATATATATATATATGAAGAAATATAGTCTTAAGGTGTGCTATATTTATGGGATAAAGTGCTCCATATCAGAGATAGAGCGTGTGTAAATATAAAAGTGAACATAAAAGTCAACACTTAGAGGCGACAGTCTGTTTCATGCTATATGCAATCGTCAGGCCTGACGATGTTCACTTATATATATATATATATATATATATATTAAGACACATATCTCTTCAAGAACGTTTTGTTCTTTTTTAGAAATTCATTTTAAACTTTAAAATTTATGATAAAAAAAAAGAGTGGGAAGAACAAAAAAAAAATAAATTAAAAAATATATGTGATGATACGTTGCTCTTAGTAGGACGAGAAATAAGCAGACTCTGAAATTACAGATTGAATCTACGGACTGTCAAGTATTACTCTGACCTTCCAAAGGTTACGCAAAAAATATTGTGCCTTGGGAACTTTTGAAGTAAACATAATTTTGGTTGTAAATATGTAATATTTATGAGGATAATAGACGGATATCATTCCTGAGGTGTTCCTTAATTGTACACTGTTCAATTATTAACGTTAATAACAAACTATTTTAAACTGTACTTAGATTAAACGAAAATTACTTACAATATAATACATATTACTTATAATACATTCCTTCTTGTCGTCAATTTTGATGGGATGGGTATACTAGTAACAATAATAATAATAATAATAATAATAATAATAATAATGAGAAGAAGAAGAAGAAGAAGAAGAAGAAGAAGAAGAAGAAGAAGAATGTGTTTAACAAAGATAAAAAATAAAAAAAAGAAACAAGGAAAGAATAGAAAATATGCAAGTCATGTATGATATCCCACAATGCATCGCTGTTAAGCAAAAATTAAACTCGGTACTCGAAAGCATCACCTATAAAAAGTCGGCTAATGAGTCGGCTGGAACGTTGGTAGTAAAATATAAACAAAGACGAGAATTTGCTTTAAAAATAAATGTGGAAATCACGACCGATTGGTAAGCTAGTCAGGCACCTGTTTCTCGTTTTCTAAGTTTCCGCTATACTAATTAATCGCAGTAGTTTATTTATTGCAAAGAGTTGGCTATACAAAATCTGTCATCCAGAGTGCTTAGCTGCACACACACACACACACACACACACACACACACACACACACACAGAGAGAGAGATGATTTCATTTTCAACAGAGTAATTTCGTTTTCTATACGTCGTCATATACGACCAACAGCATCGTTTTTTGTTCAGTTAATTCTGGATAAATCTTTTATACTCGGCGTAACATCAAAATTGTCCAAATCGTGTAAAAGCATGGTATAATTGTCTGTCCAACAAAATGTTTAATATCTAAAAAAAGAAAAAAAAAACACTAAACTAATTGAGTTTTTTTTTCCAGGTTTTCAGATACGACGTTTAGACATTATGATGCCATTTGTCATAAGATTCAGTGAAAAACCCTTTGAATTATTCAGCTACAAAGAGAACAGGCTAAAATAGTTTTGTGTCAAACCAGCTATATCTTCCCAACTGAGCAATGGTTAGAGGAAAAGACGATTCAGGCCTTCAGTAATAGTACGAACATTCATTCTATGGCTTCCGTCTTCAAAGTCCATTCAAGAGAACGGTGAATAAATTTAAAAAAAGAAAGAGATCATCAATTCAACTTAGACTTAAATAAATTCTTATTGTTCAAAGTAAGTCCAGTAGTGTTATAAAAATTTCGGAGAATTCCAGTAAGATATCTTTAATCGTTTCTAAGCTACAACGGCTCAAAGCTTAATCTAACAATTGCACAATTTTTCTTTTATACCCGGTATATATATATATATATATATATATATATATATATATATATATATATATATATATATGCTAAAGTAACACAAATAGTGAAATATTTGTTAAAACTGTACGTATTAAAGGATCGTTTGACGGGGCAGAAGTGGCTGTGCTAGTTGGAATCTTCATGTTAAATAGATTAAATAAGATCGTCCATATCATGGATTATACAGAGATGATGGACTGATGGCGGTAATGGAAAATAAAAGAAACAGTGATTCAATCAGGAAAAAACAAATATTCAAAGACCTGAAATTCAATATTATTGTAGAAACCAACGAAAAAGTCAACAAAAGTTAAGCCTGTCAAACGGAACCATCTCAACTTTTATGAAACCGAATGCGACTCGAAGATATATCAATATGGCGTCTAACCACCCAACGAGCATAATTAAACAAATCCCGTCAGGAGTGCAATGTAAGCAGTCGCAAAATTCTTCTACTGAAAATATATTTAACGAAAAAGAGAAGACATACGTATCATTAAGAGAAGAAGGGGCATAACTCTAACCTGCAATTCAAAGAACAGACGAGCCCCCAAAATGATATTATTATTAATAATAAAAGAAAGAGAAACATAGTTTGGTTCAACACGCCTTTCAACACTAACGTGATTAACAAACATAGGGAAGAAGTTTTTCAAGTACTTCCCTCATCAGCTATTTAACCGAAATACGGTAAAATTAAGTTATAGCTGCAGAAGCAATATGGCCAACATCATAAAAATAATGAATAGCAGAAATTTAAAGCTACTAAATGACGTAAAAGGCGAGAATACGACGTTATGTAATTGCAGGACAAAAAATAACTGTCCATTAAATGGATTATACCGTATTGAACGTGTTGTATATTGTGCCGAACTGGAAGGTGAAAATAGTAGCACAAAAATACATCGGGTGTACTGAGGGCCAATTCAAGAGGAGTTGGTAAATGTTGTTAAAACTGTTTATTATAAACAGAGCTTTTATCAGGTCATCTCATAAGTTCTGTCCGAATTTTAACTTTTTGTTAAAATGAACGAAATTTAAAGAGTATTTTATAATGTCTAATGGAGCTGAAAAATATTTTATGGTTAGATGCATTTAAACTGATCAAATTTTATTTCAGACAACAATAAAATTAAATTTTGTTTGAGTAAAACCCTGCTAACATGGAAGTAACCAAGAATCATTTGAGTCACATAATGCTTTATGAGTTCAAGAAAGGAAACTCAAAAGCCGAAGTGGCTAGAAACATTCACTCAGTTTATGGAGAGGAATATGTGAATGAAAGAACTTGCAGAAGATGTTTTGTAAAATTCTGAGGTGGAGATTTCACCCTTGAAGATGAAGATCGAACTGGACGTCCAATTGAGTTTGATGAAAAGCTTCTTGAAGCAGCCCTTGAAGAAAATCCTGCTTTATCAGTTGAGGAATTGGCAGTGGTTCTCAGTTCTAACCATACAACTGTTCATCGTCATCTTTAACAACTTGGAAAAGTTCCTAAACTTGGAAAATGGGTGCTTCATGAATTGTCTGAAAACAACCTCAAATCCCGAGTTGACATCTGCTCTTCTCTCCATTTTCACTTTTTTAGGATAGAGTTGTGACTGGCGAGAAAAATGGATCTTTTATCGAAATGTTAAGGGTCGTAGACAGTGACTTGGTAAAGGGGAAGGACCCCAGCCACAGCCGAGAAGGGAACTTCATGGGCAAAAGGTTCTTCTTTCAATCTGGTGGGATCGCCAAGGAATATTCCATTTTCAATTCTTACCACCTAATGCAACAATTAATGCTCAAATATAATGTCAGCAATTAGAGTGTTTGAACCAAGCTTTGATGAAAAAAAGACCTGCTCTAGTGAATCGAAACGGGGTGATGTTTCATCAGGACAATGCGAGACCCCACACAGCAAGAATCACGTCACAAAAGATCAAAGAACTTGGTTGAGAGAAAATTCCTTATCCACCTTATTCTCCCGATCTTGCTCCTTCAGATTACCATTTGTTTCGTAGCTTACAGAATCATTTGGAAGAAACAGCTTTTGTAATACAGGAAGAGGTTAAAACTTACACTTGTGAGTTCTTCGAATCAAAGCCAAAAGAATTTTACAGTAATGGAATTAGTAAGCTTGTTAATAGATGGAAGGAAGTCATAGATAATCAGGGAAAATACATTGTTGATTGAATCTGTAATTAAATGTAACATTTGGTCACTTGTTTTCTTTATTCAAAATTCGGAAAGAACTTATGGGATGACTTGATACTTAAATATTTGTATCTATAAAAAAGAACGTATAAACATAAAAAATGTCTTAAAATAATTGTTGGACTTTGTCCATTTCATAATGTGTGAGGTCATTTGTTTACATTTGGATACGCATTGAGAAGATATGAATGTACGAGAGAAAATCATGGAGAATTGTAGTTTAAAAACAGTAAAATCGACCTTGCTAACCGTAACGCTCCTCTGTGCCTCAATCGGTAAAAGCACGTCAGGCTATATGACGGTTCCGTATAGGATACGGGTTCGATTCCTGTCAGAGGACGCATGTTTTTTATGACAATTTCTCGCACATTCAGGACGGCAAATGTTGTTAATAATGTTTATTATAATCATAGAATTTACTTAAATATTTATATCTATAAAAAGAACGTGTGTGTGTGTGTGTGTGTGTGTGTGTATGTGTGTGTGTGTATATATATATATATATATATATATATATATATATATATAAAGAAAGAACAGTAAGATATATAATCCGGTGTTCTTATAGATATTTTATTTTTACAAAGTAGTGCTCGATTTAAATTTACAGAGCATTAATATTATAAATTAAAACCATATTTTAAATCAATTAATTTATAATAATTATATATATATATATATATATATATATATATATATATATATATATATATATATATATAGAGAGAGAGAGAGAGAGAGAGAGAGGTACGATGAGAATGAATAGAGTACACTTCCAACGTTCATACCATTTAATTTAAAAGAGGGCTTAATATGTAGTAGGGCAATATTATTTATTTTAGCAAATTAAGACAAAAACATATAAAAATCGCTACACAATTGCCGTCGTGTTTCAACACATAACGATGCGCCTCCACAGGCGATTGTAAATTACTGTCGAGTGAACGATTAATTTGGTTTCGAAAGCAAAATACATATTCACTTTTTTTAAAAAAATATAAGGCATGAGGGCTTTACCCTGATCTATCAATCGAATATGACCTATTGCAACGTTTAACTGAATCGTAAGGTAAATAGAGACTGTTTACAATTTACCGTTAATTCATATATATATATATATATATAAAGTTCAGAGCAGATAACATTAGAAAGATTTAAGAGTCCCATGAAAATAAGTGGATACAACGTCTAAAAACAAAATATCCAGCCGGGCTAAACCATAAATTTAACAATATAGATAGTACTAATATATAACTTTACAAATCAAAACCTACCAACATTTCTCACCCACACAAGACAGACATGCTTACGGAGGTGTGGAGGCCTCACACTTATATACCCACCCACACGAATACACACACTTACACACATCATATTCACTCACTCCCTAATGAGCCAAATGATAACACACACCCACAGCAATACACACGCTTACACATATCATACTCACTCACTCCCTAAGAACCAAATAACACGCACACAAACACTAAACAGAGACACATCCCCTCACCAGGTCCAATAAAACTGTCAAACTGACCAGAGAATTCATAGCAACATGTATCTATCCAGCTCTTATCTCAAATAACAACTTAAAAGAGACTGTTTGACCAATACGAGGATTGTTAAAAGATTCATGTTAAAAATAAAAAATAAAAAAATAAAAAAAACAAATGAAAACTACAGACAAAAGTTCATTTTCTCCAGCAAAAGACATTCATTTCTGTAGTTTAGTGCTACCAGCAAGCAGAAATATTTCTCCTCTCGATGATGGCCATTTTGGCCGAAACTAGTCGAGGAAACTAAATGGAATAATAATAAAAAACACGAAAGAATATTAATCTACAACCCAGTGTGTCTAAAGATTTTAAT